CTGTAATGGCTCCAAATGCATTCAGATGACTTTGCTACACACCATTCCCAGCAATTGCACAGTTACAGGAATACAAAGAAATATGTAAAGCAGCAGAACCCCAGTTAAAAATGTTATTAACCATTGTAGTGGGGTTACTCCCCCGCACTGCAACGGCTAAGTGCTCGTTTTTGCCTGGGGTCAAAAATAAAGTTATACTCACCCAATTCTTGGACCCGGCCGGTCCCTGGAGCCTCATTCTCCTCTGCTGCAGCGGCTTAAGGTTCCAGAGTCATCATGTTTTATACACTGTGTACAGAATGTGAGGATGTTGGGGAACATACAATAGCTGCGGCGGAGGATGAGACAGACTTCAGGAAGAGTTGCAACAGCCCCAAGCTCGGGTGAGTATAACTGTTATTTTTTACCCTAGGCAAAAATGAGCACTACCCCTGCACTGCATACGTTTAGGGCTGCAACAACTAATCGACATAATCGATTATTGAAAAAGTTGTCAACTTTTTCAATCATCGATTAATCGGCTTCTGGTTAGTTGGCCCTGTTCACTGCTCCACACAAGCTGCGCACCGCACCTCCTCACGCTCGCCGCTGCCAGACCCGCCCGCACCCACGCTCCACACGCCGCACCTCCTCCCCGGCCTCCCACATCCACGATCGGCACAGGGACGCGGGGAGAAGAAGTAAGGAGGAGCAGGTGTGGGGGGATGACAATTGCCGATAGACAGGCCCTATCTCAGAAGCAAGTTGCTGGAAGACTGCTCAGGTAAGCCTGTACTTTCCCACACATGGTGCTCTATAATGTATTGATGGTATTTGTATTCCCCTATAGCTGATGGTACATTGTGCTATATGTTATACAGAGGACTACAAATCCCAGCAATAGTACATTATACACTATGTATAATGTACTATTGCTGAGATTTGTTGTATCCCTCTATAGCTGGTGGTATTCTGCATTGCGCTGTATAGAGGACTACAAATCCCAGCAATAATACATCATACAGCGCAATGCGGAATACCACCAGCTATAGCCGACTACAAAACCCAGCAATAATACATTATACAGTGGTGCAATGGCGAATACCACTAGCTATAGAGGACTACAAAACCCAGCAGTAGTACATTATACAGCACAATACAGAATACCACCAGCTATAGCCATTACAAAACCCAGCAATAATAAATTATACAGCGCAATGCATAATACCGCCAGCTATAATGTATTGCTGGCATTTGTTGTATGCCTCTATAGCTGGTGGTATTCTGTATTGTGCTGTATAATGTACTATTGCTGGGATTTGTAGTCCTCTATAGCCGTTGCCATTCTGCATTCTTTGCTATATAGTTTTACACTTTTCATTTCACTATATTGCACACCACACTTTTTTTTTCTTTTCTTATTTACTATCACCACTCCAAGTTTGCTCCCGTGGTGGACTACAATCTCAATACAAACTAGTAGTCCATCACTGGAGCCATTTTTTAAAATGTATTTTATTTTTTTATCCGATTAACCGAACTCAATAATCGGCTAACTAATCGATTTTGAAAATAATCGTTAGCGGCAGCTCTACATACGTTAATAACATTCTCAACCGGAGCGGTTAAAAGCTAAACATACAACATTTTTTATTTCCTTCAAGATCTACCGGTACCCAGGGAAGACTGCAGCATTCTGCAAATTTAAAGAAGAACTCCAGGATTTTGAAAAAACTATTTTTTGCACATGCTTCCACTGGTACGGGGCCGGCTTTCTGGGCAATCAGGAAGCAAGGCAATGACATGCCGCCTGCTTCTTGATTGCCCGGGACTGGTTTCCCAGCCAATCACAATCAGCATCGAGCCAGGTTCCGGCCAATTAAGAAGCCGGGCGGCAAGTAATGACCCACCTCCCGGCTTCCTGATTGGTTTGGAAGCCGGCTTTCCAGCCAATCAGTATTGAGCCGTCTGTTCCACCAGCTCAATGTCGAGCCGGCTGTTCAGCCAATCAGGAAGCCGGCAGGAAGGTCATTACTCACAGCCCGGCTTCCTTATTGTCCGGGAAACTGGTTCCATGTTCACCTAAGGCACTGGCGGTCAGAGCAAATTTTTCTCCGTCCGGAAGTTCCAGTATCGGGGAAGATATCGGAGCATTTGGGCAAATACCAATATGGGTATTTCCCTAACAAGGACTATCTATGTGGACTGACTCTGTGGTTGGAGTTACATTTCCTCGGTTTACAGATACACATAGCCTGAGTATCCGTTTGCGTTATAAATGTTGAGATGGTGGTGGCAATATAAATATCCGGATATTGGATTGATATGCAATTTCAATCTGTGAGAATTTGGGACAAGCGGATTATCCTAAGCATTCTAACAATTTTTGGACTTTTAGTGTACCACTTAAATTGGTAGCTATTGGAAGTATAATCTTTGGATACTTTCATGTTAGTACACTAGTGACACAAAGAGATACCATGTTTTTCTTTTTAAATCATAGTTACAGTTTGGAATTAATAAACTTTTTGTTATTGTAAGTATACTGTACAGTAGGAAACATATTGACCAAAAATGGGTTTTGGGCAAAATGCAGAAAATGAACTTTTTGGCCGAAATTGAGGTGCATCCATAGTTTCTCTCCTCCTCGCTGGGTGCTGCTCTGTGTCCCCTCTGACAGAGCAGTGTCCAGCGGGGAGCTGAGAAACATTCAGGATGCAGAGCAAGGTGGGGAGGGTGTGTCACAGGTGGCAGAGCTCTCCTCCCACACCAAAGCTTGGCCTCCTGTGACAGGCGGAGACTCAGGATGGAAAGGAGTGCGGGGAGGAGACAGCTGTCACAGGAGGCTGAGCAAACAGTGCGGGGAAGGAGTCAGCTGTCAGCCGTGTCACAGGAGGCAGGATGGAGAGTGGTTAGAAGCTCTCAACTATCAGCTGATCGTTGAGTGTTTGTAAATAATTGAGGACATAGCATGTTTACTGTGCCCCCAATTATGAATGAACAGGAAGTGCTCTACATCACTTCCTGTTCATTCAGGATTGTGGACATTGTAAATATACCATCTCCACAAGTTATAATTGAACAGGAACACTCAGTATAACAGGATAGAAACACATGTGCTGCCATTTTTAAAAGGTGTGAGTGCCACGGCTGTCATCTCAATCCTTTTTTCTCTACTCGGTGAGTCACTCTGGTGATAAAAGTAGGTGTTCATGTGTAAAGTAGGGATGCACCAATACCATTTTTTCCAGACAGGAGTACAAGTACCAATACTTTTCCTCAAGTACTCGTCAATACCAATTACCGATATTTTTTTTGTGCCATGAGACATTTTTTCTAAAACAATGAAGACTACTGATTTAAGGACAGTGGTGAAGTGCCAGGGCCCGGTCACAGCTGTATATGCTGCACCCCAGTAGATTTGCCACTGACTCCAAGCTGTTGAGGGACTACAAATCTCACCAATACATTATACAACAATGCAGAATACCACCAGCTAAAGAGGACTACAAATACCAGACATACATAATACAGCAATTCAGAATAATACCATCAGCTAGAGAGAACTACAAATCCCAGTGATATATTATACAGCGATGCCAAATGGCAACCGGCTATAAATCCCAGGAGTGCCATATACATCTATTTAGAATCATATGAAGCTACATATTCTGTGCTGTGCCTGGGTACTGGCCCGATGTCTCCAGCGGAGGATCTCAGGTGGCCGTGTGGGGTCTCAGGAGGCTGTGTGGACTCTCAGGTGGGCTGTGCGAGCTTTAGGGGGGCTGCATGGGGTCGATGGTGACTGTTTCTCGTGAAAATGCCCAGTAGTGGCCACAGGGAAGAATGCCCCCGACAGTGGTGGCCACAGGGAAGAATGCCCCCGACAGTGGTGGCCACAGGGAAGAACCCTTAAATTGGTAGTCACTGGAAAGAATGGCCCACTCACAGACAGCTAAAAATATCTTTGGTATCATAGCACTGGTTCTGCCAATTGGCATTGGTCCTGGAGCTACGCTTGCATCATCAGATGGGAGCTCAGTCAGCCACAGCTAAAGATACCCCTACCAACCTCTGGAGGAACCTTAGAGACAATGGAACCATGGTGGAGAATGGCTGCCCCAAGTAGTGACAGATGACGTATGACAGACATGCAACTTGCACCTTCAAAATCTAGTCGGCACTGGCAGCTCCCCTATCCCTATCCTGACACATTGGTTGCACTTTGAGTTTGCCAAGCTGCGATCAGCATCAGGTACAATGCATTTCAAACTAAACGTGAAAAGAATACAACTTTTTGTATAAAAAAATAATTTTATACAAAAAGAAATATTCATGTTGCTTCAGCGCCAACATTGTCTCCTGTGGTATATGAACACACACACAGATTAGGACAATAACTGTTCATACACATCTAAACAAACAACTCCAATCAGCTGAACATCCAAAATGAAGAATAAAACCACAGGAAAGCACGATTCTAAGCACCAGCCAGGTAAATCATTCCTTAGAGAGATTTGCTGCTGTAAGAGCTCACAGCAGCCACAACACAGACACAGAGGTTTGTAAGTGTGTCATCCTGCTTGGAGCAGACATCTAAAAGGAGTTTACTCACTTCCTGATGACCTGTCACCCCAGTAATACACAGGACCCCCCAGGCTATGACACTCAGACATCCTAGGGGAAAGCAGCCTCAGCCTACAAAAAGGTATTTATCACTTTACAGAAGACTGAGCTGTCATAGACAGTTGTGTGATCACTTTATTATAACCAACACTGTACTACAAATGTGGAAGGCAGCTCTCGCGATCTCCATAATGAATGGCAGAACATTAGAAGTAGCAGCCTAGGAGAACATCACAGTGCAACACTCCTGATCCCCATGTGAACAAAGCAGACGGATTAGTAAAGGCGTGATAAACTGGGACCTGCTGATAATGGGAGCCTGGACCCGCCACACAGCACACAATGAGTAGCCCCCCTAATCAGGGGCAGCACATGCACTAGAAGCGGCAACTCACCAGCTTTCGCAATGAGCCCTCGTCCATGGCAGAGAAGCGCTCGTCAGACATGTCTCTGTTCTTATCTGATCAGTCGTACACAAGTCTCCTGCCAGCACCGATCTCCAACTACATCTGCTGTCTCCGACACACTTCAAATCACTGCTTTGCCGAACCCGTGTACGCCCTCTTCCCCTCCCACTAATAAACCAGCCAACCAGCGGAAGCCATTGTGCTGATCTCACCGCCCACCTGTCTTGTGACTGGACAGATCGAATATAGAACGCCCGCCCCCTTCGCAGGGCGTGCCGGGAGTTGTAGTGTTATGTGGTGAAAGGTGAACCCTTTGCAGGTAATAAACGTATTTCAAACTAAAACTGTCACTTCCAACGGCCTGTAGAGGGAATCAATGTCTTCTCTGTGTGGCTCTGGTGTGATGAACACGCACACACGATGACATCATTGGGAAGCACAAGCTGAATTGCGGCATTCAGGTTATAAAGGTAGGCATAGGGGATCAAGTCATGCTGTCAAGTTTTTTTCCCGTCTGTTTACCTTTGAGTTTTGAACATGTGATGTGACACTGTCTGGCTTGAAAAACGTGTCTATGGTTTTAAGGTGCCCATACACCTATCGATTTTTGTTCGGAAATCGTCCACGAATGGTCTTTCGAACGATAATCGATTCGACATTTGTCTGTGCATGATGGGCTATTTGAGCTACACTCGAACAAGGGTTCTTGGCAGCAAGGAAAATTTCCGATTGATAATCGGACAGTTTTAGGGCTCATGCACACTGCGCTTTTTTCAGTACATGGTTTTTATTACACATCTGAATTCAGTTCTGGTGTTTTCTATGGGCCATGGTGGAATTGCACTCTGTGTGCTGTTATTTCGTTTAATTAGAAAAATGGATTATAATAGGAAACTTTACACTGTAATGTTGCCTATTATAATCTAGCTCTCTGATTAAATGATTACAGACAGGGCCACCATCAGGGGGGGGTATGGCCGATACCCATGTGAGGGGTCTGGGGGGCCCCTTACATGGGTATAAGCTGTACCAGGGGCGGCATGGCAGAGGTGACAGGGGAGGGGGTGGAGGAGGCCAGGCCCCAGCAGCAGCAGGTAAGAAGAGTTGGGAGGAGGTACAGGGAAAGGGACTCCGGCGACCAGCCCACCTGAGACCCTGCAGAGCCCACCATAGAGAGTCTCAGATGGGCTGTGCAGGATCTATGGTGTGCTCTAAGGCCTTGTTCACAGCAAATGCACAGCAGATCTGCATGAGTTTCTGCACACGCAGTGCAGTGGGTTGTGGCGCGGTTTTGATGCGTTCAGGGCCGTTTTTGGTTTAAAAAAAAGAAAACATTTTTTTGGGAGCCAGCTGTCACTCACGGAGCTGGGCGGATCCAGACATAATTGTCGGGATCTGTTTCAGCTGCGACGTCTCAGTATACCGCGAGCAGCAGCTCGCGGTTTACTGCGGCTTCTCAGTATATCGCGAGCTATAGCTCGCGGTATACTGAGCCTAGGGTGACAGGAGGACGCTAGTTTGTGTCCTCCCGTTACCCTTAGGAGAACTATGGGGAAAAGCCCATACCCCATAGTTCTGTTTTAAAATGGGCTTTCAGTGCGTTTGCTTGCATTTTTTATGCGTTTGCATGCGTTCCAGAGCAGGTAAAATAAGGCTTGCTGCAGTTTATTTACATGCTCTGGAACTGAATGCTGCGGTGTGAACTAGAGCCCAAAATACCATTGGAATACATTGGACGCAGTTTTGCTCCGGTCTGTAACTGCTCTGCTCCTGGAACGCGCTTGGTGTGAACAAGGCCTCAGTCACACTAGATGCAGTGCGTTCTGGGCCGATTTTGGGCAGAACGCACTGCCTCGCATTGTGGCGGCTCACTTGTTCCTTAGGTCCTCCACTGTATGAATCGGCTGTGGCCTGAGCAGTGGCAGGCTTCTCTACCTTCCTGTGTTCTTGGGACAAAGCCTGGGACACAAGCAGGAAGGGACAGAAGGATAAAAATTGGGACTGTCCTGGCAAATCTGTGGCAGTTGCAGCAGAGTACTACGCAAGCACCAGGATTTATATAATTGTGTTATCTCCGAGATAGCATCTCAGTGCGGGAAGGAGATGCTGACCCTGGATGATATCTTAACAAAGAAGTGTGATTCCTCCGGAGAGAAAAGCACATGAAGGCACTGTTATGGTATTATTGTGATCTCTAAAAGAGGTAATTCATGCGTAGAAGTGTTACGCATGTGCATTGCTAAATAAACATATTTATCCTAAAAAAAATCTGCTGCTGAGTCTACTTTTATTTATCTCTTCAACCTTAATAACGTTGATGGAAATACTACCGATAGCAAACAGATACAATCAGAATTTCTTTTTAAAGCAGGAACATCTTGATGATCCATTTAGGATTTTGGTTTTGTGATCATCTAGGGCAGTGGTGGCGAAACTATGGCACGCGTGCTAGGGAGGGCACGCGAGGCCCTTTCTGCTGGCACGCTAGCCAAGGTTCAGGCACCACAACATTAAGGCAGCCGAGCTGTCTAATGTCGGCAGGCGTGCGAGCGTCGGCAGGCGGGCGAGCGAGCAAGAGGAGAAGGGGGACGGAGCGGCAGGGGGTGGAGACAGAGGGAGATGGGGGCGGAGATGAGAGGACGGGAGGAGACGGGCGATTGAGCTGCATGAGACAGGGGGTGGAGACAGAGTGAGATCAAGGCTGCGATGAAGAGACGGGGACGGAGCGGCATGAGATAACGGAGACAGAGTCAGATCGAGGCTGCGATGAAGAGACGGGGACGGAGCGGCATGAGACGGGGCGGAGACAGAGGTGAGATCGAGGCCGAGATGAAGAGACGGGGACGGAGCGGCATGAGACAGGGGGCGTACCAATTGAAATAGATCTGACTGACCCGGCTCGCCTTGGTATGCGATCCGGGCCAGTCACAATTAGGCAGCAGCAGCCAATAAACAGGAAGTTAGACGGCTGCTTCCTCCTCGCTAGGACCCCGGGAGGCCCCTGCAAGCGGCCGTCTAATCTGCCTGTTTAGAGGTCACCGCCGCTGCCCGATTGTGACCGGCACAACTACAGAGGCGATCCGGGACGTTCGGGTCCCCCGTGAGAGTCGTACAAGGCCGTAAGGCAGTGATGTTGAACGTTTCTTAAACCCGAGCGCCCAAACTGCAATACTAAACTTAGTTTCAGCGCTGGCACTTTGAGATAAATAAATTGATTTTGCGTCGCAGTTTGGGCACTCGGGTTCAAAAAGGTTCGCCATCACTGATCTAGGGGGTCAGACCTATTCACTGTATTCTATAGGTGGAACTCTGGCCAAAATAAAAAATTACAAATACAATGCAATTTGTCAATAGAGTTAACATAGCAGTCTTTGTTTTCTAAGTTCCCCCCATAATATGGTTTTATTACTTGATGATCTGGCCAGTAAACTAGGTATTTTTCAACTTCCTTTAACAGACAAAGCTGTCCAGCAAAAGTTGCAGATAGAGGCCAGAGACAAACCATTTAACACTGACAGGGGTCAGATTTCATTCATTTATGTTCCCTAAAGGAGAAAAACATTTCTGTAACTGCTTAAAAGTTTTAGCTGGAGTTTTACTTTAATTTATTGGTCACTTATGTAAAGTCCAACTAAATCTACAAGGCCATTTAACACTACCCTCTCCACCGGGTGAGAATGCTGCTGTCCAAGGGTGGATATGTTAATCTTCCATTGTTACTGTGGAGGAGTGAGGGTGGCCACCCTGGCAAACACCTATAGATTATCTGCAGATTTTCTCTGGACAGATGGAAAAAGTGCAATGGATTCCTCCATCTACCCTAAACCGTGTGGATGCAGGAATCTCCCACTATGCCAAGCTTCAGTATCTTGCTATTCGGACCCGCTGGCTGTCAAAATACCTGAACAATCTGATTGGATGCAGGCATTGTTTGTCTCCCGCAGCCTGCTCAGTCCGGGTACTGACGAGATGCCCCGCCCCCTGCAGAGCCCGCACTGTACTAAGAGGCACGCATTCCTTGTGACAGCCGCTGCTTGAGTCAGTGAGAGGTACTCCTTGGAGCGGTGGCTTTACAACAAACAGTGACCATGGGGACAAAAGTAGCCACCCTCCAGAAGGAAGGACAGTGTCAGCACCAATTCAGAGATGATTTGAGGATCTACAGCTGAGTGATACACAAATAAAATACGTTTTTGTTAATAGTTAAGGTACTTGAATGTGTCTTTAAAATTTACCCTCTGAGTTTAGTGTCACTTTAATATAAGGGGAAATGTTTTTCAATAAGGGTGATGTGTGTCAAACGCCACGTTTTTCTGTGGGTTGTTATACTTAATATGATCCTGTGCTTTGCATTTAAAATACAGGAAAAGTCCTTCAAGTTTGCCCACTGTAGACCCATATTCTTCCCGTTTGGAAAGTTGCCAGGCAATGTCTTTTGTGGGCATTCCCCTTTATAAAGCCTAACGGGCTCTACGGTAGATCTCCACTTATGACAGTACAAATGGACAGAGTAAATTACCGAGCCAGCATTCCACAACTTGTCCAGGCCTGACCTTCAGAAAACCATGCTGATTCATCCAAGTTTCACCATTGGTCATAAGGATGGCATACTCCATGAACTTTTGATTAAATTCTACGGTCCAGTGATGTTACATGTCCACCCACCACCGAAGAAGAAAAAGGAGCTTTCTTCTGACTGGACTGAGCAGTGCCAGGAGCACTGTGATTCACAGGATCTTTGAATAAAGAGACTAGAAGTCTCATCTGGTACCATGCCAGAGGGACTTGTAGTTCTTAATGAAGCACAAGTGTGGTGACATCACTACATTTGTAGTCTATTGATACTTCCTCCCATCTTGTGACTGAAAGTCCATACCTCTGTACAGACAGGGACTGGAAGGAATAGTCTGCAGAAGTCTAAGCATTGTGTAGCACCTTGCTAAAAAGGAGTGCTAGATCATATATATATATATATTCTATGTTCAGTTCGATTATGACAAAGCAATCTGTGAAGCTGTGTCTGCCTGCTGCTGGGTGTGGTATCACACAGAGCAGAACAGCCAATGAGGATTGCTATGTGCATTTATGTCTCCCAGCCAATCACTGTA